ATCTATGAAAATTATCCTATGTCTGTTCCACCACTGGGTGTCTGGCAAGCAGACAATTTGTTTCTTTAATTCAGTCTTCACATCTAGAAGAGCCACAGTCAAGAAGCTATTCGTGAGAAATTGTACATGACAGACCTCATGTACTGGACATGATTTAGATGATCAGATCCTGGACTTTTATGAAACTTCTGATGAAAATCTTCTGAGGGGAAGAATGAACTTTGCAAATGTGAAAATGTAAGTAATTTAAGTCCAGAAAGCAGACTGAGGTTGTTTTAAAATATGGTTCCAAAATTTTTACATTCTTCTCATCAAGATACAGGATTTTGATCCTCTCCTCTTGAATCTGAGATCAATAGAGTATAGTGAAAATGATACTTTGTTAATTTCTGGGCTCAGGCTTTAAAAAAGTGGTAGCCTCTATTTCATGTCTCTTGGGACATTTATTCTTGGTATCTAGACACCATGCTGTGAGGAAGCCCAGGCTACTCTTTGGAGAGGTCCATCTGGAGAATAACCAATAGCTGGTGCCAATTTTGCTGGCCATATGAATGAGCCATCTTAGAAGTAGATCCTTCAGCCCCAAGAAAGCCACCCCAGGGATGCCGTATTAAATATATTTATAGTTAAATATATCAATTTTAAGGAGTTCTGGTGACACAGTAATTAAAGCATTTGGCTGCTAACCTAACCCAAAGGTCAGTACTTTAAACCCACCAGCCACTTCATGGGACAAAGATGAGGCAGTCTACTTCTGAAGAGATTTACAGTCTTAGAAATCCTAGGAACTTCTACTCTGCCCTACAGGGTCACTGTGAGTTGGAATCAACTCAACGGCAGTGGGTTTTTGGTTATATCAATTTTATTATAGTTAAATACATTACTCTTTTTTCTTTTGGCCTATCCCTTGTTTAAAAAACACTTCCCACTCTTGAGGTCATAAAAATATTTTCCTACTCTGTCATGTTTTGGTTTTCTACTGTATCTGTGAAACTGGAATTGGATGCTATTAAAAAATTCAGAGAACAACAACAAAACTATCAAGCAAAGGCAAATCTTTAAGAGTAGGGTAGCAGAGTACAAACATTTCCTAAATATATTTGACTACATCAGCTTTTTATGCAGCACATTTTGCAGGACTGGTTTTCTACCAAACATGTTTTGAGAAATGCTACTGAAGTAATAATGATAATAAAAGAAATAAGACAGCAGAATGAAAAATTCAATAAAAAGTTTGGAAGATATAGTTCAGGGAAGCTTGAAGAAAGTTGAGCAAAAAAGGCAAAGGCATTAGGAGAGAAAGAATAAGCATATTAGAGGGCCAGTTCAAGTTCATCATCTGAATAACTTATGCTAGAAAGAGTAAATAGAAAAAAAGCAAGAGAAAATCTCTTGATGAAATAATTTTAGAAAATGTCACGAAACTAAAGAATGAAACAGGCCTATCAAATGTCTAGCATGATAGATGAAAATACTCCCATTCAAGGTGAAACCTCAGAATACTGGGGGTGAAGAGAAGCCTCAAAGAGAATTAACAGTTATTATGTAAGATTAAGGATGTAAATCTAAGGAAGAGGAAGACACAGGAAGGAACACACTGGTATCTTACACAAAAGAGAAGTGAAGGGAATCTTAAGCAGCTCAGGATTTCTTCTCGAGAATGAAATTAATAGATCTAATAACGTGCTTGAACATAATGGGAAATATATATAATACGAAGACAGTTTAGGGTTTAATTGATAAAAAGTACATAGAAAAAGAAACATACTATCAAAGAAACCAACAAGATAATTATTGCTCTGAAGACAAGTTGTCCACCAAAGGAAAAGTAATTAGAGTACACTACATAGCTCAAAGGAGCTCTGGTAGCATAGTGCCTAAGGCATCTGACTGCTAACCAGAAGGCTGGCGGTTCAAACCCACCAGACACTCCTTGGAAGGAAGATGGGGCAATCTACTTCCGTAGTGATACTGCCTCGGAAACCCAAGGAGGGGTCGCTATGATTCAGGTCTGACTTGACGGCACATAACAACAACAACAACAACATAGCTCAAAGGAGCTCTGGTAGCATAGTGCCTAAGGCACTTACTTGACTGCTAATCAGAAGCCTGGTGGTTCAAACCCACCAGCCACTCCTCAGAAGGAAGGTTGGGCAATCTACTTCCGTACTGATACCGCCTTGGAAACCCAAGGAGGGGTTGCTATGAGTCGGGTCTGACTCGATGGCACATAACAAGAACAACACCATGGCTCAAATGAGAATAGCACTTGAAAGGTCATAAGAAAAACATTAAATTTTGATCTAACCATAGTTATAATATCACTGTATTGGGGTAAGTATGTGTGGGTAGATAAGGAGGTAAAGAGATTAAGAAGAGTCAAATCTAATCTTCTACAGTGAGTAGCTGTGGGGTTTATTTTAACTTTACCTAAGATTTTGGTCATTGTCCTTGGTTCCTAAGAGAGAACCTCTAATACCTTGGGACTTCCCCCAGTAATCATAAATGTGTTTGACAAGGGCTCAAGATTACACCTAACCCAACAGGTTATGCTAATGAGGTGATTCTTGGGTGGGAGACTGGCCCTGCCAGAAAGATCCACCCTGTGATACCTCCTAATATTGACCCACCTCAGGGAAGAGTGACTTAGGTTTGCGTTATGTAATGAAAAACCAAAACCAAACTCACTGCTGTCAAGTTGATTTCGACTCATAGCAACCCCTCCTTGGGTTTCTGAGTCCCCCAGTAAAAGCCCTGGACACGGAAGCTCCATGAGCTTCCTGGATGGTGAAAGACATTTGTTTTCAGGAGAGTGTATACCCTCTTTAAGACACAGAAGCTCTTCAGTTGGAAACCATCCCAGACTTCACTCTATGCATGTCTTCTTTGTGCAGATTCTGATTTGTATCCTTTATAATAAAATTGTAATAACTATAGCATTTTTCATGAGTTCTATAAGTCATTCTGATGATATTGAATCTAAGGGAGTTTTAAGAGACAGGGCGGAGTGTGGGTAGGGGAAGGGACTCCTGAACTTACAGCTGGTATACTAAGGGGTAGAGAGAACCCCCAAATTGTAGCCAGCACATCAGTAGTAAGAGGAACCTTTGGGGAGTCCCAACTTTGTGGCCTGCATCTGAATTCTTGGGCCAAATTGTCAATCTCTTGGATTGTGTCCTTTAACTTGTGCGGTCTGACCTAGTTTGGCATAGCTAGGGTGCAGGGGTGCTGTGCATTCAGCTGGTGTCAGAAAAGAAGTGCAGAGAAGTGAGGGGTGGGATTTGTTTGATTTCCCTACAGTAGTCAGTAGAAAAATGCCTAAAGTTGGTGGAAGAGGGCAGCAACAGAAACATGTTATTTAGACATGTTGTTGTTGTTGTTATTTGCCATCGAGTCGGCCCGACTCATAGCGACCCCTCCTTGGGTTTATCACTACAGAAGTAGGAATGCCCAACCTTCCTTCCGAGGAGTGGCTGGTGGGTTTGAACCTATAGGAAGGTAAATAGGTTTGAACCTATAGGAAGGTAAATAAAAGAACCAACTGAATTTAAAGTGATTGCCCCTAGGGACCAGTAAACAGCAGGGGGCTGGTGGAAGTCTGTTTTGTTGTTTTAAGTTTTGCAGCCAGGGCCCAAACAGGAGACAGTGACACAATGATCAGTCAAGACTGCTACAGCCTGGCCAGAAGCCAACAATACACAGCAGGTTCCCACTTTAGGTAGGCTATGAGATTCAAGTCAAATGAGGGACATCGGCCTAGTGACTGCTTGCAGAAATGGCCTGGATCATTTAAAAACAAGAGTGAGGCATAATCATGAAGCTCTCCTGCTGTTTTGAGTGCTCCCAGTATTGTTGAAAAGGCACTTAAGTGGTATTTAGAATAATGTGGGGTAAACAAAAGAGGTATACAGGCATATGTGGTAGGGATGTCAAGAAGTTGGATAATGTAATCAATACTTTCACCAAGGTGCTCATTTGTCCTTCCTTCCTCATCCATGGAGCTCAAGGGCAGAGGCCATTTATTTATTAATGTAGACACTCTTGGACTAAGCAAACCCAGTAATTGGTTGGAGCTAGATACAGGTGACATATTTGAAGAAACTATGTGATAGGATCCTGACTAGAGGTGCACACATGCTACAGGTAGGCTTAATTGTCTTCTAAAAGTTATTTAGAGAGGAATCAATGGCTGGGCCTTCCCTTCAAACTCTAACATTCTAGAATTTGGGCCAACATATCTGATCCTTTTAGAAAAAGACCACCCTAACTTCCACGGGCCTCATTCTGATTGCTTAGACTTCCCTAAAGAAGATGAAGTGTCCACAGACTAACTATAGTAAGGTTTCACACATGTATCTTAATTTAAACATAAAAAAAAAAGATTATTTTTCTTTACAGTTTTCTCATTGGGAGGCTGTGTATCCATTCTAAAGGGGTAGCTCTTTTAGAGTTACCTTCATAGATATTTTATAAAATGGGAACAGATAATGCATAACCCAGATTAATTGTCCATCCACCTCAGCCACCATACTTTGCTTTGAATCAACCATTCATAGTTTGCTCTTCAAAATCAACTACTTTCATAGCACCAAGATTTGCTACCATCAATGTTTAAAAAATATCAGGAGTTTCAGATGTATTTGAGTGGTGGCAACATTACTGAGATAAGCACATGGTCTCTGGAAGGGACCATTAACAAGGGAGCACCCCTAGCTAGGAAGGATGAATATTATTATTACAAACTAGGCCAGAGATCTCCTGAAGCTGGCCCAGCCTTCTGTCCAGCTCTGTAATACAGGGTTCACAGAACACCTGTTCACTTTTCTTGGATTGTTTTGACAGATTTCTCTGAGGCTATTTCAAATGCCAAAGATAAATATATTTAAAAAGACTACTTAGGTTTACAAATGGACAGGGGCTAATTATTGTGTAAGAAAATGAGAAAGTACAGATGCTGGGACCTGGGGCTTGCTGCAGCTAGACAAGTGATCTGCTCTTACCTGTGGGGGCCTGCATGGCTGAGCTGGGGATAGTGGCACCATCTTGGGGCACAGTGCTGGTATCCGGTTCAGGGGTGCTGGTTGTTGGTGAGGTGGGTGGTGGGTTCAGCAAAGTCCGAGGTTTTCTCTGTCAAAATGGATGGTGAAAAGTTTTCTACCCATGATATGTAACTTGTCTTCTCATTCCTGTAGTTCTAGCACTTAATTCACCCATGAAATTAAAATATACTTGTGGATGGGACTGTGTTTTATCTTTATTTTCCACATAGCATCTGGCCCAGTGCTATATATACAGTAAACATTTTCTGAATCTATGTACAAGATTCTGGGCTTTGTAGAGCTAGAGCTTATTTAATTCACTGGCTTTCATACTAGATTAAATATTATCATATGAAGTTCCAGCTTCTCTATTAATTGGGTAGACAAAAGCAAAACCCAAAATAAATAAATAATAAATAATAAATAATAAATAAATAAATAAGGACTGTTGTGGCTTAAGTCTACCTTGACATTACTTTGAGGAAACATCCCTTCCCCTACTCTACAAACTACTTTTCTCTGCCTGCCTCTTCAGCTCATTACTGGTCATTCTTTATTTTAGATTTTATACCTAGTAATATCTAACTACATTACTTCTCTAAAAACCAGGTGGTTTTACCTGGTCTACATCTTTAAGATAATAAACTGTCCCTTCTGCCTGGAACGCCCTTTCTTCCTTTTAACCTTACAAATTTCTGTTTATCCAGGGAGCTTTTTCAGATATCCCCAATTAATTACTGTCTCTTTTATGCTACCATTGCACCTTGTATTGCTGCATTTATCATAATGTATCATCATAATATATTTACATACTGGTGTCCCATTAGCCTGGAGTTCCTTGTGGGTGTGACTCTAAATATTATGCTGAGCATGGCATTTGGCATATAGTAGGTGTCATTAAAAGTTTTTTGAAATGAAGCATACAGTGCAGAACACTAACAATGGAAGAAGTAATAAAGAGATTTGAGAGAAACCTAATACCTCTTCTTTGCTATTCAGGGTAGTCTCTCTGGAGGGGACAGTAGCTGCAAGATATTAAAGGGTCCTTTCCAAGGAATAGTTTTGTTGTTTTCTCTAAATTTTATTTATTTTGTTGTTGGGGATATAAACAGCAAAACAAATTAATCCAACAGTTTCTACATGAATAATTTAGTAACAATGATTACATTCTTCCAGTTGTGCAACCATTCTCATCTTCCTTTTCTGAGTTGATTCTCCCTCACTAACATAAACTCACTCCCCGCTACTGTTCACATCTAATCTTCTGAGTTGCTATTGTCAATTTGATCCTATATAGATAGATCTTAAAAAAACAAAAAAACCATAAAGCTCAAGGCAGATCTTATTTACTAGGTAAGCCAAACTATAGTTTGGTTTTAACATGACTTAGGGGATATTTTTAGTTTCAAGATTAAAGGTTATCTCAGGGCAATACTTTTAGAGGTTCATCTACCCTCCATGGCTCCAGAAAGTCAAAACTCTGTAAGAATTTGAAATTCTGTTTGGCATTTCCCCCCTTTTGATCAGGATTCTTCTATGGAATCTCTGATCCAAATGTTCAGTAGTGGTAGCCAGGTACCATCTAGTTCTGATCTAATGGCAAAGGAGGCAGTTGTTCATGGAGGCAATTAGCCGCAAATTCCTTATCCTCCTCTTATTTCCTGACTCTCCTTCTTCTGTTGTTCCTGGTGAATAGAGACCAATTGTGTGTGTGGTGGATGGCTGGTAGCAAGCTTTTAAGACCCCAGGCATTACACAACAAACTAGGAGATAGTACAGAAGCACAAAACATATTATTAAGCCACTTAATTGGGATGAAACCATGACCCTAAACCTTCAAACCAAGTAACCAAATTCCATGAGGTATTTGCGAGTACACAAGCAACCTCAACAGCTACTTTTTCTGTTTGTCACTGTTGTAAATACATCACACAACTTTTGCCAATTAAACTTTTTACATGTGTACAACTTATTGACAGTAATTACCATTATCAGCTGCACAACCCTACCTTAATCAAGTGATTTTTCCATCACTGTTAACCCCATTTTTCCCTCTCCCACCTGCCCCTGGTCACCACTAATAAACTTTGGCCTCTACACAGTTGCCTTTTCTTGTCTTTTTATATAAATGAGGTCATATGATATTTATCCTTTTGCGATTGGCTTATTTCACTGAACATAATGTCTTCTAGCTCCATTCATATTGTGACATGTATCAAGATTTAATTTCTCCTACTGTCCTACTGGCTGAATAGTATTCCACTGTATGTAAGGTCTGGTGGTATAGTGCCTATGGTATTTGACTGCTAACCAGAAGGGTGGTCGTTCAAACCCACCAGCCACTCCTTGGAAGGAAGACTGGGCAATCTACTTCTGTAGTCATACTGCCTCAGAAACCCAAGGGAGGGGTTGCTATGAATTGACTCTGACTCGATGGCAGTGAGTTTTTTTGAGGGGGTTATCTAAGGTATGTACCATATTTTGTTAATCTATTCATATGCTAATGGACATTTAGGTTGCTTCTACCTTTTTGAATAGTGTTGCAATGGACACTGGTGTACAACTTTCTTTTTGAGTCTCTGTTTTCAAGTCTTTTGGGTATATACCTAAGAATGGAATTGCTGAGTTATATGGTAGTTCTATTTTTAGTTTTTTGAGGAACTGCCATACTGTTTTCCACAATGGTTGTACCATTATGCATCGCCATTAGCAGTGGATAAATGGATAAATTTCCGACATCCTTCCTGATATTTGTTAGTTTATTATTATTATTTTAAAAATCTTACCCATCCTAGTGGGAGTGAAATGGTATCTCATTCATGGTTTTGATTTGCCAAGAAACAGTTCTTAAAAAGCTTTTCTGAAGTAAGGAAAACATAACCATCACCAGGATCCAGAAATCTTTTTTTATTAATGCCCTATTATTTATTAAGGGAGCTCTGGTAGCATAGTGCCTAAGGCACTTGACTGCTCACCAGAGGGCTGGTGGTTCAAATCCACCAGCCGCTCCTCGGAAGGAAGGTTGGGCAATCCTACTTCCGTAGTGATACTGCCTCGGAAACCCAAGGAGGGGTCGCTATGAGTCGGGGCCGACTCGACGGCAAACAACAACAACAATTATTTATTAATGCTGAGAACTGTACAAAAACAATCTGCCTTCTAGGAGTATATTTTATAAAGAGACAATACTTAGGAAAGCAGGCATACATAAAGAGAGCTTTGTCTCTGAAAGCAATCATGCAAACCCACATGAAGCATTACAAGCATACATTTTTTTTTTTAATATTACTAATAGTGAAAATCCAAATAAGTAATACATCAGGGAAGAAGGGGGAAACAGCAGTTCAACTTCACCAAATTGGTGGTAGAATTTCATGGGGTCCCTGAAGAAGTTAGATGAATTAGGTGTCCAAAATTTGTCAAAGAAATCAGAAAATGGAAGGCATTATTATTATTTGAGATAGATGTAGTTACACGTATTTGATGTATTTACATGTGTCTACTCACACATCACCTCATCTCCATTTTACACATGAGGTAACTGGGGCTCAGAGATTTACCCAAACATCCCCAAAGTCACACAATTGTAAAAAATGAAGATGAGATTTAAATCTAAGTATTTCTGGCCTCAAAGCCACAAGACCACTTCACTTTTGAAAGTAATATAAAGCTCATGGGTGGAAGACACATACAGTTGTAGGAAAAGGCAATAGGAAGGTATAAGGAGGGCAACTACGGAGTCAAATGCTATTATATAAAACACAGAGTAAGATAAGAATTACTGTTACAAAGAACGTTGGAAAGAAAGGATTTTGGCTACAATGTTTGGGATTGCCTGACGCAGGAGAGAAAAGGCAATCATATAATCATAATTCTTAGGTTTTGAAGGATCTTAAAAGTCATTAATCCAACTATCCACCTAATACTTCTCTTTCCCTTGCATATATTCATCAAGTCCCTGAAGAAATGTCTCTAGTGATAAAGGCTCATTACTTCCATTATGGGACAGATATACTGTTCCTTTTATATTCAAAAAAGACATACAAAACCTGTATGTCTGAACTTCTGCTTATTGGTTCTAGTTCTGTCTTTGGAGCTCTACAAAGATCTTCCTCTTTGTTGTGACTATCCTCAAGATATCTTCATCTCACCAGAAGCATGGCTTCTCTGGTGTGGCATTCTAAGAGCTTTCTGCCTCTCCTCCATAACACAAGAGTGAGAGAAGAATAACAGAGACAAAAATGAACCAGGACCTGAACTAGGAGTCAGTGGTAATGGATTAGGAGGAGCATTATGTGTTATACAGAAAGGACATGATGTGACATCAAGAATTCAAAGCCAATAAATTAGAGACAGCTGAGATTGGCAACATTATCACTGTAATCATCCATCCATCTATCCATGTCTGTCTGTCCATCCATCATCCAGCCATTCACCCATCCATCCATTCATCTACCCATCTTATATTTACTGAACAATCTCCCAAGAGACTGAGATGCAAAGCACTGTAAGAGAAAGAGAAGAAAGATTAGATTCTTGACATGGAGGAGCTCACATTCCAAAAGGCCTAAAGTAAGCTAAACTGCTAACTAACTAACTAACCAAACAAACAAAGAACAACCTAGGGAAGAAATTATGAGATTGTAGAATGTAACACTCAGGAAGAAGTGGGTATCATTTTCACATTGGAACTCAGATAGTTCAGGAGGGAGATTCAGAAGGATATCCTTACAGACAGGAAGTGAGTGGAGGAAGTGATGTGAAAGGAGGTCCTAGAGAAGCAGTTGTGGAACCTTCTCTCCAGATCAATAGTTTCCCTATGGAAGATAAGAATGAAGAACTACCATGACTCAGAGGAAATGGAAACTATTTTCAGTAACAATGTTCAGTGAAGTTGCCTCGGCAATCTTTTGCTATACTAGAGGTAAGTACTATCTCCCTTACAAAATGTTAGAGAGGACATATGTGATAGGGTGTAACTGACTATGGAACTAGAAGATCTGGGGATAAATATCTGCAGGCTTTGCCATTTATTAGCTATGTGATCTCAGAGAAGTCATTTATATCTCCAAGTCTCAGTTTACTTAACTATAAAATAAGGTTAAACTACTTCTATCCTAGGTTCTCTGAAGAATATATGTGCTATGTATGTAATGGTGTCTAATATAGAGTGTGATACCTAGTAGGTATTCAGTACATACACACACACACACACATATTTTAAACAGGGAGTAGAGCTAGAAAAAGAAAAACATTTACAGTCATTTTGCTCTGTCTCTTCACATACCTGGACATCCACTGTGGGAAGATTAACATGGAGCATGGCCTTTCATCTATGGAAGAAGTTAGATGAGAATCCCCTCAAATGTAACTTTCAAAATTAAAATTTGTTTCTTATCCCCATCATCCTATTTCTAACATTAAAAACTCCTGCATAAGTAGGGATAAGCAAGTAGAAATCTAGGATATTTCTTTTAAAAGCATACACAAGGGTCAGACATGCCCCTTTCTAAGATGGATTGATGTGGATGAGTTACCCTTTTTTTACCCCTTATCCCTTTTTGTAGGAACTCACATTTTTACCTACCTTACTGCCAGGTTTGGGACCCCTCTTCTTTGGGAATTTCAAAGGTTCAGCTGACTTAGATGGGGTAGAAATGGGATGGGGAATTAGGGTCTTGGGTGTCCGGCCCCGCTTCTTTCCTGGTTTACGCCCCTTCTGCCCTGGTTGATGTTCCAAGATAGTTTTGGTGCTGCTGTGGGTGCTGGGCTTCTCAATGTTCACATCAGATGCAGGATAGGGACTCTTTGGAATCACAACTGCAAGAAAAAGACTCATTCTATTACCCCCTCCTCCCACCTGCATTCCCATCCCAGCTAGAAGATAAAAGAACTTGCCATTTCCGCTTAGGTAACAGAAGCTAGTTTCCTGACATATTACCCAAATATTAAATAAATCACAAAAGAAAACTGAAATAAGATTGTCTAGAATTAGAGCTTTTTAATTACTTCTGACAGAGAGGGGAAAAAAAAAAACCCACTAATTTTTTTCTTCCCAAGTTATCTTAGAGAAGTATTATGACCTAAATCAAGGTGAAGCATATATACAATTCTAAGAGACAAGCCAGCTCAGACTTGGCTTGTCTCTTAGAATTCCACAATTCTCTCCTGCTAGAATGAAAATCAGGCTCAGAGAGGAGGTGATGCCTTCCGTAAGTCACAATGAGTTGAGATAAAGTTTTGAAACTGAGCTGTGACAACTAAAGTAGGGATTTTCTACATCAATCTACTTAATATTTTAGTGATTACTGTAGTGAGTAGTAGTGCAACACATGGAAATATAAATTTGTCAGCATCTCTCTGTATCTTAAAAACCTTTGCTTCCTATTACTTTTAATGTAAAGTCCATACTCTTTATGTTGATTTCCATGGGCTTCTGTGACACCGCCTCCATCTCTAGTTATGTCATTCCCTGTCATCTACCCCTATATTCTTGTCCCACTATTTTCTGAATAACATTCCTTCACATATGCTGAGCTCTTTATTCCTCTCAACCACACATACCAATATTCAGTTTCAACACTCTGCTCAAGGGACACCACCTTATTGAAGCCTTCTCTGACCAGCACTGCACTAAGTCAGTACTCCTATTTTCAACACACTATGTAGACAACTCTGTTACAGCACTTTTCCGTTTTATTCTAATCATTTGTCTCCTCTGTAAATTGAGTATTCTTTGAGATAAGGAAGAGCTAAGTCATTCTACAAATAGTTATTGAGGACTGTTATAAGTCTTGGGGATAGAAAAGTGAACAAAAAAGATTCCATATTCATGGAGTTTACCTCCTATTGGGGAGGCAAAAAGTAAATAAATATACAATAAAATGTCAGATAATAGTAAGTGTTATAACAAAACCAAAGCAAGGTAAAGAGAGAGTAAGAGTGAAAAGGAAGGTTTTCTCTAAGGAGGTGACATATGCACAAAGCAGATAAAGGCATAAGGCTTATGGGCCTGTTTTTGGGAGCTGCAAAGCTAGGCTAAGAGCTCCTAAAAGACAGAATGAAATAACACATAATTTTGAAGTTTTAGGAAACAAATCTCACTAGAAGGAGGAGCCTATCTCAAACACATAGCTGATCTCTTTAAGACACAAGCCTTATTTTGAAACTGTACAGTGAGAAAACAAAAATGGAAAAAAAAAAATAGAGTTACAGATATGTGGGTTAAAGTACATCTAAAATATGACAAAAGCAATCCCAGAGAGAGAAGATGGGATAGAGAATTATCTGAAGAGATAATAGTTGAGACTTTCTGAAAATTAATGAAAGACATCAGCTCACAAATTCAGGAGCTCAACAATCCACAAGCAAAAAAGTACAAAGAAAACTATACCAAGATACATTATTGTCGAAGTACTGAAAATAAAAGAGATAAAATACAACTGAAAGAGAGAGAAAAGACAGTAGTACATTGAAAGAGAAGAACCATTACACTTATAGTAACAACAGTAAGACTGATGATTAACTTTTCAACAGAACTATGGAAGCCAAAGTAATAGAATGGCATATTAAAAGTGCTTGTTGTTGTTGTTGTTGTTGTTATGTGCCGTCGAGTCGATCCCGACTCATAGCGACCCCTCCTTGGGTTTCCGAGGCAGTAAACACTACGGAAGTAGGATTGCCCAACCTTCCTTCCGAGGAGTGGCTGGTGGGTTTGAACCGCCAGCCTTCTGGTTAGCAGTCAAGTGCTAAAAGAATTAAACTGCCAACACAGAATTTTACACTCAGGGAAAATATATTTCACAAGTAAAGGTGAAATGATATTTTCAGACAAATGAAAGCTGAGAGAATTTGTCACCAGCAGATCTAAATTACAGGAAATAAAAATGAAGTTCTTTGGGCTGAAGGAAAATGATCCCAGATGGAGACATGGAACTGCAAGAAGGAATGAAGAGCAGGAGAAATGGTGAACACATGGGAAGACACAAAAAAATATTCACTAGATGGAAGGAGGGGAGTGAGAGTAAATGGAATGAAACTTGGATAGATTTTGTATTATTTGGGAAGTGGTTGGAGAGCTTATGGAAGGTAGACTTTAATAAACCAAGAGTGTATTTTTGTATAAGGCAGCCAATTAAAGATTTACACAAAAATGTATCACTAAACAGTTAAGAGGGAAAAGCAGAATTATAAAAACAAACCATATCATTAGGCAAACAATGCATGTATATGTTCTTTTTCTTTAAAATATTTATTTATTTTGTAGTGGTTGTTGAAAATATACCAATACAACAGTTTCTACATCTACAGTTCTGTGATATATGTTCTTTTTTTTTTTCAAACTGTGCATGATCCTTGTGCATTAGCTGTGTGCATTTTATGTGTGGGCATGTTATTTTCATGGCTGTGTTATATGTGAAAATATAGTACTTGATTAATTCAAAAGAAGGCAAGTAAGCAGCAGTAAAGAAATAAGGAACAACTCAAACAAACAAAATAAAAAAGCAAAATGGAAAATTGTAGACTTAAAATGAAATAAATAATTACATTAAATGTAAGTGTAGTAAGTAAATCAATTAATAGGAAAAAATAATACTAGAAAAACAACAACACAAAACCCAAATATATTTTGTTGATAAGAGACTCTAAAACTTGAAGGACACTTGAAATATAAAGACAAAGGGAAAAAAAAATATTGTGAAAATATAAACCCTATAGAAACTAACCAAAAGACAGTGGCTTGGTTATATTAATATCAGATAGTATAGTCTATGTGCTTGAAATGTATAAAATATGTAATACAGACAAGCAAAAACAGATAATGGTAAATTGGAATCTTAGAATAGGGAGGTATTAGTGGAGAAGATAAGAAGCTGTTGGGGATTCAGTACACATGCTGAGTAAAGAGCTAACATGACTGGAGGTCAATGAACAAAAAATTAGGAAACAGAAAACATAAAATTATATTCAATGGCATATGAAAGAGAGTGGTCCAATATGATGAAACACTACTTGCTTGAGTTAACTGGGACAAAAAAGATGCCATTTATTGGAATAGAAAATACTACACAAAGAAATGTGTTTAATTTTTAAACATTTTTTATAGTATGGGTAATATATATAAAAATGGAAATGTTAATCACTTAGTCAGTAGTATATATGAATGCAAGGGAGAGGGTAAGACTGAAGATACAAAGTTGGAAATCATCAGTATATAACTAGTACGTAAAGCCATGAGACTAGATGAGGTCTCCTGGGGGTGAGTACCTAAGTCAAGAAAGGAGAAAAAAAGATTATGCCTGAAGAACTCTAATATTTAGAAGCTGGAGAATAGAGGTTGTTGTTGTTATGTGCCGTCAAGTTGGCCTCGCCTCATGGCGACCCCTCCTTGGGTTTCTGAGGCAGTTATCACTACGGAAGTAGACTGCCCAACCTTCCTTGCGAGGAGCGGCTGGTGGGTTTAAACCACCAGCCTTCTGGTTAGCAGTCAAGTGCCTTAGGCACTATGCTACCAGTAGAGGATACAGTAAAGGATACTAAATAGTGAATCAAGGATTCAGAAGAAAACAAAGAGTGTGGTCTCCCAGAACTCAGGTGAAGAAAGCATTTTAAGAGAGAAAGTTGTTGTTGTTAAGTGCCGTCGAGTCGTTTCCGACTCATA